AACATACACACACATACATACATACATACATACACACACAGACAGGGTCGTCCCAATATGCGTTTTGCAATTTGCATGTAGGCAAAAACGCATAAAAATGCAGTTCTGAAAAAATGCAGATTTTCAGTTCACTAAAAAGTGGAAGTATTGTTCGAGCGGCCGTCTGTCAAAAAATCCAAGTATGCAAATGAACTGAAAGTTCATTTACATATTTGGATGAGGCGGTCGTTTGCTGCAAAACACACTCGCTCCTGATTTTTCGGTAATGTTGAGTATTTCTCACGCCCGTCTGCAGGAAATTTCAACTCCAGTCAGAATTAAGACCGCACTTGAAAGTAGAATATACCAGCAAATTTTCAGCCTCGCAGTTTATCCAGTAAACGAAATATCTATTTCTGTACAAAAATCTTCGAAGTGTCCGAAGTCGTAATGCAAGTGCAAATTGGTGCTCATTTTAGGTATGCAGTACCCAAATGGCGCCAGAGATTCTCACAAAATTTTAGCCACAGTTTTCCGGCAAGTTTTCGAGTTAGCACAGTACCAAGTTGCAAAATTTGACGTGATGGTACGCGCTTCACAAGCGTGCGGGAAAGCAGAATTTGAAATTTTTAGCTCGCACATGAAAATATCTCTGCAAGGTATCAGCCTTGTACCTTGTCTGGTTCGCGAAATCGTTCCCCGCCAAGGAATTTGCATGTTTTTTAGGGGTCCGTATGCGGGGTCTAGGCGAGTGTGGGAGATCTTAAAACGAGAGGGTGACACACAGGGTAGGAACATAACCCCAAACTCCCACTCTCCCAGCTTTCCTGGTTGCTGAGATGAAAGTGTGTGAAAAAATGCATTCTCTTCCGCACACATACACACACACGCGTGGCCTCTCGGGAATATGTGTTTTTGCTCGCTGTAGCAGCGTAGAGCGCTGCTACAGCGAACAAAAAACGAAAACGCATAAAAGCAACCGCTAAAGGAAAAATTGTTCATTTTCGTTTATACGAAATTTACGATAATTTGCGGTATTGAACGCACAAGGTAAGTGCGAAGAAACAACCATTTATGCAATTAAGTTGCTTCAAGTTTGGTGCAAAAACGGGTGAACGCACCGGCTCGCCAGAGTTTTTTGTAGCTTCGAACCGCTGCTCCATGTTGAGCCGCTGCGACGCACTGCGAACGAAGTTTGTTAAATCGGAGAACATCTTTAAGCCACTTCTACCGTATTTTCGTCTCCTCAGCGCCACTGCAGCTCATTTCACTCGTATGTGGTCTTTATCATCGCTCATCGATCTCCCCATCGACCTACCACAGATCTCTTTTTTTCCGAAAAGGGCATTTCTGCGCGCTTATGAATGGAAGATCATGTTTTCGTGAATGGGTGAAAAATACCTAGTGTTAGGACGAGATAGGGAAAGGGGGTTTGGAATTACGCAGCTTTGCTTCCACCACCAAAAGTTTCTTCTCCGCTACACTCTTGAATGGAAAATGTTTCGGGCAGCACGTTTTTTTTAGAAATAATTCTTGGTGTTTCATCAAAATTTGCTACTTCTAGAATTTCTTCCTAAGTTTGAAGTTTTCGTTCTACTATCGCAACAGTCATTTATCGTCCTTTTTTGCCGACCTTTTTTCGGTTCATCGTTATCATTCAATTCAGGTTACGGAGCGGCACAAGCACACGCCGCTTATTATTCCTCATGGCCGTTCGAAAACGCCCAAAATTGGCAACCGAAGAAGAGCATTGCGATATCTGCATTGATTCAAGTCGCTATCCGATCGCCAGAAAAGATGAAAATATTGTGGACAACTTTCATGGAATAGAGGTTTTTCAGCTTTCGATATTTCTAACAGATCCATCCGGTGCTTTTTACCTAAACTGTTTTCCTCCTGAACGCACTCCACTGTTTTCTCTTTTTGAAGAAAAACAATTCACCAACGCACGGGCTAGGTGCAAAGATGTGTTTTTTGCATAGTTCCCCGCAGTTTTTGTCGTCAGCGGCACCGGCTTTTTCGGCAAATGCTTCTAGCTTAACAAATTAAGACTGGCCGCCAGAACTGCCAGGAAACATTCCCTTAAAATTTCAGCCTTTTAGCTTTTCTGACTCCTGAGTTAGCAATTTAGTGGAAGAAAACTTTCACGGACCCACACGTGGGTATTACGCATAAACGGGGTTGGGTTTGAGCTCATTAATACTTACTTGGACGGGAACATCCCCCCAACATTTCAGCATCCCAGCTTCCCTGATCCCCGAGTTATGAATTCACCCGAAAAAAATTTTGGCGGGCCAGTACGCGGATATCACGCTTGCCCGTGGGCTGGGTTTGAAATTCTTGATATCTATTTGGATGGGGAATGTCTTCTTAAAATTTCAGCCTCCCAGCATTCCTGGTTCCCATGTTAGTAGCTTACCCGTAAAAAAATTTGGCGGGCCCGTATGCGGATATCACCCTTGTCCGGGAGCTGGGTTTGAGCTGGTTAACACTTACATGAACGGGGAACATCCTCTTAAGATTTCAGCCTCCCAGCATTTCCTATTCTCGAGTTAGCAGCCTACTTGTAAAAAACTTTGGTAGGTTCTTACGTGGGTACCACGCGGGTAAAACCGCTTACTTTGGAGATTGAGGCCCGTACGTGGATGCAGATTAAGCCCCCAAAGTTTCATCCCTGTAGCTTTCGTAGGTCTCGAGATGAAAGATCGGTATAGAGGCCCTACGCACACACAGAGACACGCACATACAGACAACCTCTCGCCAATATGCGTTTTCCGCACTGCACAGCTGTAAAAAACGCATAACTAGTTTTCACGCGTTTTTTGCATCTATGCAATGCAAAAAAAACACACATTGCCGAGAGGTTGTGTGCGTGTTTGTGTGTCTGTGCGTGTGCCTGCTTGCTCGTTGGTAGCGATTTTTTATCTCGAAACCTACAAAAGCTACAGAGCCGTAACTTTGGAACCTTAATCTGCATGCACGTACGGCTAGGTGCTCCAACTCACTTGGTTCTGACGTGCGGGCTCGTTAAAATTTTTTGCGGGTAAGTTGCTAACTCGAGAACCTGAAAAGCTAGAAGACTGGAAATTTGAAAGGATTTTCCCCGTCCACGTAGTTCCCAAAGAGTTCACAGCCAATCCCTGGGTGTGAGTGGTTCCCACGTACTGGTCCGTCATAGTTTTTTGCGGGCAAGCTGCTAACTCGGGAACCGGAAATGCAGGAAAGCTGAAATTTTAAGGAAATCTTCTTCGTCCATGCCGGTATTAATGAGTTCAAACCCATCCCTCGTTTATGTGTGGTATCCACATATGGCCCGTGAAAATTTCCTTCGGGTAGGTTGCTAACTCGGGAGCCTGAGAAGCTAGAAGACTGGAATTTTGAAGGAATGTTCCCCGTCCAAATAGGTTTTAATGAACTTAAATCTAGCCCCCGGTTATGCGTGGTAAGTTGCTAATTCGGAGCCAGAAAGCCTGGGGATTGGAATTTTAATGGGTGTTTCCCATTCAAGTTGGTATTAATGAGCTCAAACCCAGACATCGGCTATGCGTGGCACCCACCTACGGCCCGTGGAAGTTTGTTTTTTCAAGTAAGTTGCTAACTCGGGAGCGAGAAAACTAGAAAGCAGAAATTTTAAGGGGGCATTTCCTTACAACTCTAGCGGCCAATCTTAATTTGTTTAGCTGCATTTACCGGAAAAACCGGCAACAGTAGCGAAATAAACTGCGGGAACTATACAAAAAAAGCATCTATGCACCAGCATCTGGTACGCTAGCCAGTTTTTGCGAACGAGAACGATGGTTAGCGCGGCTCATACATTGCTCTTTCGATCAAAAAGATACCACAGGCAGCGTGTGCGGCAGCTGAATTTG